ATTGAACAGAATTTGAAATTGTAAAACTTCATTGTATTGTTAAGTCCAAGGAAGGTACAAGAGCTTGACAAAAAATCTTTCAGCGTATAATTATGCATATTATTTGAAAAATAAGCACTTGGTTTTTAACAGAATTTGAAGATTTGATTTCTTTAAAATAATTTCTTTCACTTTAACACTGTTTTAAATATAAAACAAACAACGGGCGCTAAAAAAGTCCTTTCGATTTCGTCGAGTTCGCGTAGATTTGCCTATTAATATTTCACTTAACACAAATTCACACAAAATAGAACGAACCAGTTTCATGTTTGAAGTGCTGATTTTACGGATGGATACAGTGAAGTGACGAATCTCACATGAAATTCGGTCTTTATATCTAGCACGACTTTTGATTTGATTTTATGCTAATAGCACAACAGAAGGTGAACTGCTTGACAACTCATATAATGTAATTCCCTTTATCAACGAATAAACAAAACTTTTTAAGAGTAATCTTACTCAATAACGCGGTTGCTGAACATATTAAATTAATTTAATTAGATTATAAGATTACTAATTATGCAAATTTTTAAAGAAATGCTTTTACTACAGATGGATATAAAGCATATTTTGTTTTGTCACTACCTGGTTTTTTAAGAGAGTGTAATCTATTTTTGTGTATAATTATATTTTTTTTCTGATGATGATATCTTACATTAATTGATTTTGCAAAAATCCTTGATATAGTTACGAAAAATATCAGAATGCTAAATGTCTAAGTTGGGCTATTAGCTTAGAGGTTGAGTCGGCAGATGGTTCATTATTACTTCGTAATATTTTATTATTAATTGAGTTTATAAAATGTTATTTTTTGTGTAAAATAATCGTTAACGTTGACGCCTTGGCGGTACAATTTAGTGTTTTTAAAAACTTCTTTGCAAATTATGTGACTTTCGTCTGTTCCGTTTTGTCTGTGAGTATGAATATTTCACACATTCATAAATAACATGTCCAGGATGTATAATTTTTATTGACTTTTATCGTTTTTATAGTTGATCAAAGCTTTTATTACAATGCATGCGAAATATTCTTTATATTTTGATGACTTGGAAATAAAACAAATAATTTGGTAATAATAGTTTATAGATAAATCTCTGAGCATCACAAAAAACTCTATTACATTAATCTTTGTAAATGTTAGTATAATAATATCAGATAATGATCAATCTCGAATACAAATTAAATTACATTAATTTGACATAGTTACTATATTAATACTGATGATTTATGTTGTGAGTACATGAATAAATACCACCAAAAACAATTTAAAAGAATTCATATAATCAAATGTTTTATATTCAATACTTAGTAAATATTTATTTGATCAACATTTGGACTGTGATACTAAATGGCGAAAATCAAACTCCATTAGCGTCAGGCACTGGTGGCTGTCGTAGCAGTCCTAGAGAATATTCTTTCGATAATATTATCATGTTCGAAATGAAGGATTATTGTCCACTCTGGGTTTTTATTTTAATTCGAAGCTTTAGTCTGAAACAGTATTATGCCTAAAGAGTCCTGGATGACGTTAAAAGGGTCTGTTTGTTCAAATATTTTCTCTTCATGCTATCAAATCTACTATATAAAAATAAGTCGGGTTTTCCTTCTTGACGCTATAACTCCAGAACGCACGAACTGATTTCCACGGTTTTGTATTCGTTGGAAAGGTCTCGGGTTCCGTGAGGTTTATAGCAAAGTAAATTAACTAATTACCGAACGAAATGTTACATAAAACGAAGCCATTTGGTGGCAAAACGGGGTTCGCTGGGTTTGCTAGTATGTATATAACTTTGTAGATAAAGTATTTAATAAAAATCATGTTTCTTGTTTATGAATTAAATATTATAATTATTTAGTTTTAACTAGGCCCTGTATTGAACGGTCTAAGGTACAAAGTAATACAATCACTGGTTACCTATTGGCGTTCTCAAATCGAAAAGGCCCTTAGGGCTGTGTACTGCTTTACTCAATTGGTCACAGGCCCTAATGGGTGCAATTACGCCACTAACCCCGCAATATATGTTTACTTAAGATGAATAATTATGCGGTTAATTAGTAATATGATATTACAAACAAGTAACATTGTAAGTAAGTGATATTTCAATTGTCTCATTAGTCGAGTAGATGTTAGTGTGCCTGTTGAACAGAGGGTATCGAGTTCAATTTCAGGTCGTGTAAATTCTATTTATTTTTATTTATACATTTTTAGTTATAAATCGAGCCTGGTGTATGTAAATATTCGTTTATTTATTTTTTATATATTTGATGGGCCGACATTTGGCCACTATCTCGCCAGGTGGTAAGCGATGATGCGATGTATAAATATTTATTTCGTTTATAGAGTAAGTAACATTAATTTACAAATTACCTACCTTCTATACAGTGATAAATTTACATACATAACATATATAATAAAAGTAATTGCATAGGTACTACAAACCAAAAAATAAGATTACTTTTACTGAAATTATGTAATTCTTAAAGTTACATATAATTTTTTTTTTGTGTTAAATTCCAGGTAATGTTAACATTTCTTGTAGTACGTAGGTATTTAATAATACAAAATTCCATTAATTTAATTTAGGGTCTGCAATAAAATGTCCCATTCGCCTCTCAAGGTCTAAATAATAAAATATCAACTTATTAAAAGTCGTTTCTCACCTGAAATGATGATATACGACACATAATACGCGAATATTAACACTAATACATTATTCGAAAATTATGCAAACAAATTATTTATTTAATCCCCTATCGATTATGATAAAAACAGAATTTATTTTTGTTACATACCAGCTGGTAGCATAGATTAAATATTTTCTAGATTAAATATATATCTGTCGAGGTAAATATATAATCTAGAAATAAAATTGGCATAGATTTAAGATGTATTTATTAACTATGCTAAAATAACAGTTTAATGTAGGTACTGTTATGGATGCCAATTAATATGCATTTATATAATATAAATTTAGTATTTTTCTGAAATTACATAAACATACAATACTAATGTACAATTTAATGCATTTTGCAGGTCCTAATTTTGAGTGCGGGAGAGCCATGCTCCGGCACTAATGGGCCTTCTCGACCGGAGTGATAGCACGGCCTCACAGAAGCCGACGTGAAGCAACGCTTGCGTTGTGTTAGTTAGGTTACCGGAAGCCCAATTACCAATCCCTCCCCAATCTCCCTAATCCCTGAAGCCCCAATAATCCTCAAAAGGCCGGTTACGCATTTGTACTCTGGTGTTCCAGGTGTTCATGGGCGACACCGATTGCTTACGTGATCCATCTGCTCGTTTACCGGCTTATCCCATAAAAAAGATACATACATAGATTGCTCCCGTCAAGACCCATGTTCTCTAATATAAAAATAATAGTAGGTACTTGCTTTTAACCAAAATGAGGAGGAAAGTACCTAACTAGTACGATCGAGGAAGTTGACAGTGTAGTGTAAGCCATAGTCAGACATACGGCAGCCAAATAGGCAAAATGATCATGACGATGAAGAATAGGGCCGAAACTAAGTCACTAAGTGAATTTCAATGCCCAACGATGAACGATCCCGAAAATGTTGATAAATGGTAGCAAATAAGATATTCCAGAATTGACTCATTTGGTGTAACATTATTTCTGCCCCAATTGGAAGACTACAGTTGTATTTTAATTGACAAATTGTTACTATACATACAAAAAGAAACCATTTAAAAGTTCAGTTTTATATTGGAATTAATTTCCAAGCTTTACGCTTGTCTCACGACATTAAATGTTCATGCTTTTAAAATGGATCAAGTCAAACTTCCAATTATTCTTCTGTCTAATCGAAGTACAATTTCTGCAAAAACAGTAGCCAAGATTCCTTCTATTTTTATCCCTTTACGAAAATTCAGTAAGAATACAACGGTTGAACGTGAAAGCCTGACAAACGTGACTGCACGGTTGGTGCGGTGGCTGGGCAACCGGCTGCCGTGCAACGTATCACGGGTTCGATTCCCGCACGGAACAACACTTGATTGTTGATGTGTGATCCACAAATTGTTGTTTCGGGTCTGGGTGTCATTGAGAATGTGAACTTGTATGTTTGTAAACGCACCCACGATACAGGAGAAAATTCAAATGTGAAGCAAAGTATTAAAAAAAAAACAGACTTACTTTCGTATTTTAATATTATATAATTACAATGACATGTAATTCTTATCATGTTTGATCCATTTATATGTAAAAGTGATATAACATGATATTACTCAAAAACACGTGGAAGATGCTCTTATTGCATAATAATCTTCGTAGATGCACTCTAATGATTAAGGAAGTCACATTTAAATGTTCATTACCTTGCATAATTACGAAAATTAGTCCTTATATCCATTTGCAATTATTTCAGGTCCAGAAATATCTTACGACTTACCTAATTATGTCGTGAAATTAGAATCTTTTTTAATATATTTTATCTAACTGTTCCTACTAACTAACTATTTTAATGGCTTTTTATTAATTGTATCAAATATTATTGTTGGTTACACAGTAAAATACTTCAATGTTTATCGTGCGATATTTAATTAAGTTGAATATTATTTATGTTTATCTTATGTCTTTTTTATTTTCATCTAGGATAACAACTTTTTATTTTTGGAGAAATGCTAAGAACAGTAATTTATTGCAAATATGCAGAAGTAATTAATATACTACTAACGAACCAATATTTTCAACCCCAGACAGATTTCCATACTAAAAACTATCAAATGTCAATTTTATTCTACAGTTAAGAATTAGCTGATGATTAAAAAATTGGCCCTTAGCTAAATTAAATTCCAAAGGATAATGAAAATAATACGTCAAGTTTATAAAATCAGTTCCTTTATTATCTAAAACAATACTATTAAGGTTATTGACTCAGTATATAAATATTATATACATCATCAAGAGTATTTACAGTCTTAAGAAGCTATTCTAGAAATTGTTCTAGCCTAGGAGTGAGGCGACGACCGCTGATGGGACAGCACCACCAGGACCTTGCTGGATTTGGGGTTGGAAGCCATTTTCATCAGCAGTGTAGGTGACTACGTAGGTGACACCATCAGGGCCGACCCACGCGTACTGTCCCTGCACAGCGATGGCCTCATTTTCCGTGCCTTGGTTCTTAAGCTGTCCTTGTTCTTCGTGCTTGGATCCATCTGATAGCTCCCATCTGTAAAATAAACGTCAGTATTTAACCAACTTCTTGTGATTCCAGAGTGCGTCGAATTGCAACGAGTCCTTACGCGAAGCTGTAAGAATCCAGTCCAGCGTTGTTGACGTCATATCGGAGGATCTGAACGTCCTGGGGATTCTGTTGGGGAGCAGCGTACGCGGCAGCGACCAGAGCAAGAACGATGAACTGTAAAAAGAAGTCTTCCGTTAATCCAATTCACATTTCACTTTTCACTAATCACAATCCATGACGTCACTGGGGTAGTAAACTAACCAATTTCATTTTGCTTGTTTTTTTGTGACTGTCTTCTTCAGAGTACACTTGATGTGTGGGATGATTACGTATCCAAACGGTTCTCTTATATACCAACGTAAGTATTTCTTCTAATACCGCGTTGCAACACTGCGGCTGGGCCAGTAAGGTGCTTCTTATTACCTATACCACAAGATCCAGCGTCTGGCACGACAGGCTACGTGGTATACGGCTACGTATATTACATGCTTTTAATCGATGTAGTTTTAGTGCCATCACGTGTTTGTAAACACTTAATTCACCATGCAATTGTATTATGTAAGAAATAATTGGCGTACAAATGTCAATGTTAATACGAATTACAAAAAAGTTTATTGTCTCTACCATTATTATACTTTTTAAAATTTTTTTTTTATCAGATTGTGAATGCAGTTGCATTAATTCATAATAGCAAATGTATTGCAAACATAATAAATACAGACATTAATTAACCGTTATTGCACCCGTTTATTGTTGCTATTACCATTAGTAGCTATAAATGTCTTCTTTAACAAACATGTATTAGCTGTAGAAACGATATCTAATTGAAACTGAACATTTATGGTTTAAATTAAACTTACAAGTTATTTTATGTAGATGTAAAGTGGGAAGTTGCCTTTAATGAGCATAGATTTACTATCATAGATGCATACATCATACTACTGACCTTTTTAAATGTTTAACATTAGCAACTGTGTAAATATTTCTTTAACATTACGGTTGCCATAGTAAAATACACATATTTTTGCACAAGACCTATTTCTTCCATAGGTCAGCGCATACATTATGGACATGACATTCCGGAGACCACATGTGGGCGATGCAGTGGTCTCGTCTCATCCATTATTTTTAGCACACGTTATCAACAAAATGTGCACAGGAAAATAAGCATTTTATATTTTAACGTTAAAATATTGTTTAAGTTATGCGAACAGACAAGGGTACCTATTTATGACTTAAAGTTATTGGGTACAAGTCGAAGATACTCTGAAATAGTTTTTGGTAATGCATCCTTAAAACCCACAAATTCATTAGGTGGATACATTTGGGCGTTCTTAAAAAGATCCTTAGAAAGACCCTTAGCATGGGCTAGGTTTCAAAATCTCAAGTTCCTGCTTATTACTAGACCAATAAGCAACAGTGTTAAATTAAGTTTCAATTTCGACATTAATTATAAGTTTGGTAATTGCATATAGTATTGCAGATGATGTGATCATACGCCAAATTAGGAGAACCATTTTTGGACAAAAGCTAGTGTTGCTAGATATCATAATGATGTTCACATAAATTACGTTCTTAATTCACGATCTCCCTGGATTTAATTAATATTGCGTAATTTTAATCTTACAGTTTTGTTTCATTTCCCATGCAACAGTGCTTTCTGTAAATCTAGTTCACATTAATTGAAGAGAGACACTTCCTAGGTGAAGGATAGCAAATATACGAAACGGTAAATTAATTTGTATTCTATTTCTACATAATAACATCTTGGGTGCATGGCCAAGTAACATTTGCCCTGGAAACTATGTTAATTTATGAATAAAAATTACATAACAGTAGCAGAGTCAAATTAAGCGCCTACTTGTAATGTTGTAACTGTAATAGTTAGCACTCACAAAACATTAATCTACATTATTATTTGGTACAAAAGTTAATGTACCTAGTTCATGATTTCATGTTCGCCTATGATTCACAATGTAAGATGTATTATAGTGAATGGACAGGATTACATGGCGGCTTCACTTGTAATATATTAAGTAAGATTGACTTTTGCCCACGACTTCGCCTCTTCCCAGTCACAATTGAACTCTCTAGACGGTACCTATACATTATGTTCATAAGCAGACAGTGACAAAAGCCATTGAGTGCGTCCTAGACAGTTTATTAATTACTCATTTTAAAACAACATAACTTATCTATGACTTGAACAAACTGGTCAAAATTCCAAGAATGATTTGGACACGTGTTCTATTAGCCTATTAGGGAAATTTGGAATATCAATTTGTTACATCATATTTGTTAATGTGGAAATGTCGGTGAAATACTGTTGTAAAGGGTCTAATTTACGACGTTCCGACGCGACGACGTGTTGTTTATGATGAATTCTCTCATGAATGTCGCGACGTACTGACCTATGCGCGCCATGTGGAGTTTGAAGGCAATAGGTTAACAGCATGCTGTCGCTACTTAACGCAACTGTTAAGCCTTAGAAGCCGGCAAGGCGTGGCTACTTATGATTGTGAGGCGAATAATTGCTTCATTAACTAAGAGTGATAACATTACGCCTTTTTATCCTCGAAGGGTGGGCAGAGATGGCACGGCACTTAATGCCACTGTACAATGTAACACCCACTTTTCACTATTAATGTTATGAGTCCCATGTAATAGGGGATGAGCCTATTGCCATATACCGGGCACATTTCCAGAGTCTGAGCTACGATTGAGATTTTTTTAAAACCCAGTAATAATTTGGCCAAACCGTGAATCGAACCCGAGACCCCTTGCCTGGCAGTCGCACTTGCTACCACTCGGCCAATGAGGCAGTCTCAGAATTATCAATACTATTATTCCCACATCAACCATTCATAGTTTATTCAGTCAATACGTATTGCATAAGGCTTTATTATATGCCGATATGAGCTCACATTATTCGTATATGGAGCAGACGTAATGGTAAGTAACCGCTTTCTTTTGAAAGTACTGACATTGATTGGGTGGAGCTCACTATGTCTTCGTTTATGCAACGATGCCGCCTCATTCCCATTCATCTAGCCTCGTCTAGCTTTTTCAAAGACAGACAAAGTACTAGACATAATAAAGCCTGGACTGTAATTAGTTATCCTGACGTTAAAGTGTCAAACTAGTCTTTAAAGAGTACTTAATCAACATAGTATATTAGTTCTTTGTAGAAATACTTTTGTCTTTATACTAAATGTCTTTTAGGATTAATAATAATATTAAAGAGGTTAAAGGTATTTTGTGTATGCGCAAAAAGTACATTACTGTAATGTAGGTCATTAGACACCTGCCTATGACCTCTAAACGTTTTGATGCTTAATTTGTAGGTCAGTGTGTAGAAGGTAAAATAAATAAAATACAGTTTCGGCCTATTTTGTTAATCTGCTTCCATATATCATATTAAATACGTATTTAGATTTTTATTCTAGGTACTGGATACCTCGATGATACACGTTAATACGGGGCTTTATATTAATACCCTTACGGGCGATTTTTCAATAATTATTTAATTCTTAACTGTCAAATAAAATTGACAATTGGCAGTTTTTAGTATTGAAAATTGTTAAATATTCAGAGTTATTCTATAAATATAAAAATGTGGCAGTGGAAAAATCGACCTTAATTAATTCATTAATACCAGTTTCAGTCTAATTTATTATATTTTAGGGACTTATAGGTACATAATACAGTATGAGGTAAACAACGCTGATTTTATTTGAATGATCAGTAGTGAAATCCATAGTAAATACGTTTTTTTATAACAGTACTATCTCGAATGTCGCTAACTGTACTCGAGTCAGCAAGAGTCATCGACCTCAGCTTAAAGTTTATTTTTACATACAATAAGTACTCTATAACTGAGTGTTTGTTTAATGAGTAATGGACAAGTATTTTTAAATAAACATTACTTTTGTTAGAAGTTCAAGGATATTCATTAATTCGAGAAAAAACTTAAGTTGAACCACATTAAAGCAACTCAACAATAACTGGAAATAATCGTTAAAGTCCATCCAGTGATTAACTTAAAAAATCGAGGAATTTAAAAATTTTCCTAAGGCTATGGGAAGCTCCAATCGGCCTTTAACATTTTCATTGGACAAATTATTTCGAAGATGCATTTGATAATAACATAAATCTTAAAAATAGATTTTAATGTTGAATAAATAAGGTCTAAATTGGCTGTAGAAATATAATTCATATATAAACGAACAAACCAAAGAGCTAAATGTAAAATGATGTGTGAAAGGTCAAGGTTTCACATTTTGTGATGGACATTGTAAAGAATTAGTTTAAGACTGTGTGAACACGCTGTATCAGTCTGGCAGACTCATCTCTTATGTAATCATAAGCTTTACAGACGGAGATGCGGTGCATTTTTATCTGTAGGTATCTATGAATACACATGTCTTACAACACAACCAAGTAAACATGCTAACACGTGGAATTTCTTTAAAACATAGATAAATTGATCATTGAAATAGGTGATTTGAGAAATGAAATTGAGAAAATTTTATAGACTATAAAGTCATAATTATAGGTGCTAACCCGGCGATTGATCCCAAATCCTTATGCTAAGATTTCACTTATACAAAAAGCGCAGATACAGAAGGTAAAACTAGGTAAAGGTTTTCAAAAAATAAGGTGAATTACAAAATCTTTTCAAACAAACTTTATCCTCACAATAGAGGTTAAATCCCAACCGGTCCGCTTACGTCACAGTCTGTTGAACCGTTGAACTGAACCACGCGGAGCCGACCTCTGACACGCGTCGCTTTCCTTATAGATTAAAACGTCTCAAATTTTAGGTCAAACTTCTAATACGGACGCTTCAGAACATTATAAAGAACCAATATTTCCATATTAAATCACATGCATTAATATTATGTAGTACAAGGTTATAATGACATAACAGTTTGTCGGCATCAAGACGACACCTCATTATTTTACATAACTATATAAATATTTACATTCCATTGAGTGGGTCAAGTTTTATGCGATGATGCGTTTGCTATAACATAGCCATGTTTTTGAGCTTTTATTACTTTAATCCATAATGGACTTGGCAGCTATCAATTGGACCCTGTTAAGCAGAAAAGATCCAACCAACACTTTTTCCAAAATCGAGTTATCTACATACTCATAAAGTACTTATCAAGTTTCATATATGCACAAAAGATCCAGGCATTTTGATCACATTAACCTAACAAAAGTTATATTGTGTCAAAGATACCATCTCCTAATCACCAATTTTGAAAAATGTAGAAAAGTATCATGTTGCGTGGACACAGACATTAATAAGATTTATAGTTTTAAAAAGATTCATGTTGCGTGGATCTTTTTAAAACTTTTAAGTCTCAATAATTGTTGCATAATATTTTCATACCATGCGGTTTGGATCTTTTTGCATAAAAGATACCTCATTTTATTTCAAAAACTTAAGAAACCAAGTGCTTTGGATCTATTTTGCATAAAATCAAATGTAAAATTTACCTTTGTTTCACACATTCATGATCTTTGGATGTATTCTGCTCAAAATATTTTTATTAAAATAATAGATTCAAAGTGAACTTTGAGGATACTTAAATATTTTGAAATTCGATATGGTACCTATTGTTTTTTGTTCAGTATAAAATTAATATAACTTTATTTTGGTAATATCCGTTTATCTGATTATGATATTTTTTTACTTGGTAACACTTAAAGAATTCCTTGCTCTATGGTCATTAACTACGTGACGTCTGAGTAGTGTAACGTTTGTTTAGCGCTCATAATAGCTCAGCCTTTTTAATATTCGAATATGGAACGTGCGAACAATGTTTTAAGAGGTGCCTACTTGGGATATAGTTCCGATGACGACGATCAAGATGAAAACAAAGACAGTAAGTAACTTCCTATATTTTATAACCTCAATAAGTCTTTCATTCTTTTTCAAATGCTGAACGGTCAAAGTGTGATGGCGATGATAATAAAAAGTACATCTATTACGTTAGTTAGTCCCAAAATGTCTAAAGTTGAGGCATGCTCAAAACTAAATGTGTATTTTTCACTTGATTGAGCCGAGCTACGTTTTATTTGTACCTAATTTTTGGTCGTAGTTATATTACACATTTCCAATCTGTTTATAAAGAATCTATTGTATTGAAACCGAGCTAGTGTCCGCAATTCCACGAATCGGCGCTTTTTTGACGTGCAGTATGAAGGATGTATGTATATGCTGTATTTAATTTACATAAAAAAAATCTTGTTTTGCACAGATAACTTGCCAGAAGATGTTATAGAAAACTCACCTGAAAGCAGCCCAATTGGATCCCAAAAGTCAGGTCTGTCTATTAAACTCTATTAAATTTGTTAGTGATATTGGAATACTGTCATTATTCTACTCATATTATAAATGTGAAAATTTGTCGGTTTGTATGTTTGTAACTCCTACACAAAGAAAGGCAACAATGAGTGCAGAGCATGAGTTTTACGCATGGCTAAATAATTCAATCTATTTTACTAAGTCTTGTTACTGCTTTGTTACATTTGTATTTTTAAACAAAATATTACATTTTTTACTACTAAGCTGCGTTTTGGTTAATAATTTGCTTACAAGCTTGTTTGTTTGCCTAGGTACTCACTTGGCTAAACGAAAAAATGCAACACCAAAAATTCCATCAAATCTGCTTTTTCGAAGTCAGCAATACAAAGAAAGCTATTCATTGATGCCTGTCGCTTACAAACCGCTTTCGGCTACAGATATGTCTAGTGTGGGCAGCTATGGAGTTGGTGACCAGAGCATAGAAGCTCCGCCGTATTCGCCCATAACACCGTGCATGAATACAATTAACTGTGGTGATGGTAATAATGCTGTGGTGGAGGTTCCTTCTACAACACCGCTTATGGCCGGGGAGATGAGCATTGAAGCCCCCGCTTTTTCTCCGTTAACTCCAATTGCTATTCCATCATTACCTCTGCCGTCACCAATGCCTCAAATGTCTCCAAAAACTAGAGAACTATTAAATGTCTTAGAAGGATGTGAAGATTTTGACAGTGATGATTCCGTGCAAGACCCTAACTATGTAATTGATGGTTTCGCTGAAGCATATTCTAGTGACGATAGCTCGAACAAATCAGCGTCCATAATTACGACACAAGTAACTATCCACGGTGAATCTTCTAGTGTCAAAACAAAAAATGTAATATCAACCGGTTTTCATGACGATGGACAGCCGCAGACGAGTAGTAGAGTAGATTTGGACCAGGTAACTGCTATTGGTGAAGAACCTATGCCACTGGAAAAAGAAATACCTATGAATGAAGGAATACAAGGCAGGCCTTCAAAAGGAAGGAAAAGAAAATTTGGCCAAATGACTAGAGAAGAAAGGAAACAAAGAAAGTATAAAAACTTATCTTACGTTAATTATAAGAAAAAAGAAGTAAGCCCTAAGATTTTTATTGATTTTAACTGTAACTGTGTAAAAAAATGTAGTGAAAAGATTTCATTTCAACACCGGCAAACTGAATTTGAGAAATTCTATGAATTAGGCTCGTATCATGCTCAAAATATGTTCATAGTAGCTAATGTTAAAGAAATTCCAGTGAAACGACGATACGTATCACAATCACAAAACAGCTCCAAGAATAGGTCATTTTCACGACAGTATATCCTGAAAGGTATTTTAGTATGCAGGGAGATGTTTGTAAAAACCATACACACAACTCCAAAAAGGATTGATACAGCACTTAAAAAGATGAGATCGGATTCCATTTCGGATAAACGTGGAATAAATGGAGGTCGCAATAAAATTAGTGAGGAAAGCGAACAATTTTTCATAAGTATTGTTAAAAAGCTCCCTACGTACATTTCGCATTACTGTCGTGAGAAAGTAGGAAACGCGAAATTCTTAAGATCAGATATGACATTTATGAAAATTTACCAGATCTATACTGAAGAAGCACATTCAGCTGGCATTAATGTCTTATCATATCCAAAAGTAAAACAAATTTTCTTAACCAAATTTAATCTTCGCACCAAACCCCTAAATAAGGATACTTGTAACAAATGTGACTTTTACGAAAATAAAAAGAATTTGATAACAGATGAAGAAGCAAAGAAAAAGATTATAGAAGAACATAATGCCCATCTTAAAACTGCAGAAGATCTTAAAAAACGACTGAAAAATGACATGGCTCTCGCAAAAACTGATCCCTACACAGAAACAATTACATACGATTTAGAAAAAACGTTGCCACTTCCACGCATTCCTACGAATATTGTATTTTATAAGAGACAGTTATGGATGTACAATATGGGCATACATACGGGATCAGATGATCAAGGGCACTGTAACATTTGGGTAGAAGGTGAAGCTGGGAGAGGCTCCCAAGAAGTAGGTTCTTGTCTTATTAAGCACCTGTCGGAAAGATTGAAAGAAGGAGTGACTAATCTTATTTTGTGGAGCGATTCTTGTGGCGGGCAAAATAGAAATATTAAGCTCACACTTATGCTTAAAGCTTTTTTGAACGATCACCCAACATTACAGCAAATTTTTATTAGATTTTTAGAGTCTGGACACAGTTTCTTGCCCAATGACACTGATTTCGGGAAAATAGAATGTGCTCTGAAATACCAACAAAGAGTTTACCTACCCGAAGATTATATGAACACAATGAGAACTTGCAAAAAAAATAAACCTCTTCAAGTGCACAGAATGGAAGTCAAAGATTTTCTTGGATCAGCTAATCTTGAAAAAGCAATCACTAATAGAAAAACATCTATTACTGGCGAAAAAATTTCTTGGCTTAAAACCAAAGAAATTTTATTAAAAAAAGAAGCAATGTTTTCGTTATTTATGCGAAAAAATTTAGAGGATGATTATGAAGAAGTTGATCTGAAAAAACGGCAACGTGGAAGACAACCCTTCATTTCCAGAGATATGATGAATTTGCTTTGGCCAAATGGTAAACCTATAGCAGCTGCGAAATTGAGCGATATTAAAAGCCTTATGCATTTGATTCCACGTGATGCTCACACATTCTACAAAAATCTGAGAGGTGACAATAATGTAGAAGACGATATTGATGGGTTTGGTGCTGAACCTGATTTTGAGATAGAGTATGAAGCTGAGGAAAGCGATGCTACTTAAATAAGTTGGAATACCAACCAGTGATTGTCGATTCGTTGTTTTATTATATTTAAATTACCTCAAATTTAATGTCAATTTGTATTATTTTTAGTCATTAAACTGTTATTATATTAGTACATATATTAATTTCCGTCTCCTTCTAAAATGAACCACACATTAAACTGATACTTAATTTGTAATATTGTATTTTGCGTAAAAGATCCACGCATAGTTTTTCAGGAATAATAAATACTCTTCGTATAAAAATACACTATACATTGCTTTCAAAATAATGTATATGTCATGGCCTATTACACTACTAAATTTCAAAGAGGTACTGTATCATACGATTTTTTTATTATCTGCCTAACTTTAAACTGCATTTACTCAAAAGTAATAAAATGTTGGCTGGATCTTTTCTGCTTAACAGGGTCCAATTTATCAGGCTTATAAGAAGTGCCATTATTAGCAACCACGCTCTTCTAATAGGTCAGTAGTTTCAACCTGATATTAAATATTTATTTTTGGATGACTTTTATATTATCTTTTTATGAAAATTCCTATTTTTTAAAGTCTGCTAAAAATCTAATAATTTCGACAAATTATTAGATTTTTAGCAGATTTTTAGCAAATACGACTATTTTGACGGTATCTAAAGTCACCAAAAATGTGGTTCGCATATTAAGGTTGCTCATGTAACCATATTTGAAATGATTGATTGGCGTCTTGCAACCCTAGATAACAAGCCTCAGTGATTCTATGTCGCCAAAGTGACGTAAGAATATCATCACCAATTTGCGCAGCCCTGTGTCGTTAGGATTATGTTGACTTAACCCCGTTATTACCCAATAATTCTTTTGTCATACGGTAAAACATCAACTATTAGCAAGAGCTTAAATTGAAGGTAATTTTTAGTTAAAATTTCCTAATATTCATACACCACGGATGAATGGTGTGTAATTTAGTTGAAAATCTTCTCAAATACTTCAATGAAACAAGTAGCTCGTCCCCATAAATTAAAATACCGCTCATCCATGGTCAAGACCTCTTAATGATTTTATTACTCGTCAAAGCACCACTGTTGACCTTCAGCTGTTAATTGGTTTTTGATTTAAGAGCCCTTGTATAAATGCACCGAAACATCGGATGTGGCAAAAAACGAAGACGTAACTGTAACATTCATCGATGATAAACAAGTATTCGTAATGCCAATAAATAGAGATACAATCTATAAAGTGAACTTTGTAACATTTAAGATCAGTCGATCGAATTTGCTTTGCGCATCTATCTAATTTCTGATTGCAAAGAATCTGTTGCTTCATTGACTACGTGATTTGCTGGCCATTACGAACATACCTTATTTGTTATGGGAAACAATCGTGTTGTGAAGTTGCTGTTTGTTTTTGAATAAATAAAAAGTAATCACTAAGTTACGTGATTGCTTAGATTGTTTTTTAATGTGTTCCACATAATGACAGGGATTTATTTATAGGTGATTTTCTTGACCTAAAAATATATTCGGTTTCACACTTAAGGTCACCGAGAAAGGGCAGGTAATTTCTAAATACCAGTAAAACAAGTAATTAGATTTTTTAGAAAAAAAAATCCAGTTTATTGAACATCAGTTTTCAGCAGTTGGTCGTGTGATACTGCGGAGAGGTGGTTTGGTAAGAATAAAAATTGTACGGCGCGCGGTGTATGGATCTTCCTTACAGAGCTTAAGTGAAAACGAAATTATTCACGACTATCCTCTTGTGACGTAACAATCGTGTCTGGCAGAGGCGTGAATGATAACAATCTTATGTCTCAACCAACATGGGAGTGTGCGAACGAAGAACCAATGCATGTAATAGAGACAAAATATAGATATCAAATAAAGATATAATACAAATTATTCTGTCAGAATAATGCCCATAATAATCGGGGTTAAGGCGTCTATCGACTCATCCAAAGTCATTTAGATTTATCATTGGCATTATTACAACGGTAAGATGTATTGGTGTTATTAAATACATTTATGTTTAAGTAATCGTTTGATTTTGGATCTAATAGATATTTCATGTGAGTCACCTCTACTTTGGAATTTTTATTCAATTGTTGAATAATTTCATTAAATGTTTATGGAGAGTGATGCCGCGACATTATATTTAATAGGGTCCATGAAGGTGGAAAAGGACAAAGTACTTAGATATAGTCATGGTGAGGAAAAGAAACGGGAGTATGACAGACTAAAGTGTTTGAACAAAACCTTTTTTTATGACAGAGGAAAAGGCGCCTAGCATTTTGAGGATAAAAGACTAGGGAGTGTACCCTCAACACCTATATGGAGACACCGGGTCATTATTATGAAGACGACTGGATATACTTGTGTCTTATTAACATGATATCTATAGATTGTATGAATCACTTTTAATATGAAATAAGTTAACTAAGAAGAGTAATATGTATAATACGCTATAATGTATTTAAAACGAGGCGACCACTCTATCTAGTTCATCTTCTGTGAAGCAGAGCAGCATAAAACAGTAGACTCGCCTTCGATCAACGTGACTGTCGAATATTGGAGACATGTAGTACGCGTCTTCTTCGGGAGAATATCTTTCTAGATCTATTTTGCATAGCTGGAATGAAACGAGTTGGGTTTATTTTAGATTTTGAGGCATTTAGGTATTTAGCAGCTAAATTAATGTAAGTATTAAACATAATAATGCGTTTACATAATATCTATTAAAAGAAAATTAAAAAATATTCCTGTTTTCTCAAAAGCTTTGTTTGTTCGCTTGAGTAGAGGAGCCATAGCACAACATATGGATGCTAAGAGGGTGCAGGGAGGGTAAAGGGTTGGCAATTACAATTTACTATAGATATTCATGTTTGTGGCTCTTACCCAAGTATATCGCTCGTAATAAAGCGAGTAAAAATATCTAATTTAAAGGCTAGATAATACAGTACAAAATACCTTTTTATCGTCTCTATCATAGCACACTAATTCTTCAAAATGGCTGTTTACTTTGGCTTTTGGGAATTTGAAGTAGCTCTGTAACTCGGCGTAACGACCTAAATGCTAGAAAAATATATTTAAATTTAATAAATACACTGTTATACGAAAAATCCTATAGAGTGATAAATAAACATTTATAATTTTACCTCTGCGTCTAAAGTACCAGATTTTCTAATTGTATCTTGAGGGAATTCACTTGGAAATATTCTTCTTAATTCAATGTCTTCACTGTAAGCAATAATTTATAGTATCAATCAAACGGATGACAATTACAATTAAAACATTGACGAAACTAATTTATGTACTGGAAAGGATTCTTCTTAAATTATTGTTTATAGTTTAATTATAAAATTGTTGTTCTGTGTCTTTCTTGTTTTTAATGGGAGAATATAATCCCATACAAGTGCTCCCACCTAGGGTGAGGCGAGAGGGAGTGTCAGATTCTTATTGACTAAAACCACCCCGTCTACACCTGCTCTTCGAACCGGAGCCCCGATAATCCGTTAAGTCCTCCGCGGCTCCGTAATCGTGTTGTGTCTAGCAGTATCAACGAACAAAGTTAAATATTAAGCACTCACTAAGTATAAACTACACAGTGGCATCTTCTGATCAGACTGTTCAGAACCTAAGAAAGAAAAACGAATTAGTACATTCTGACATTTTACCCACAAACTTCAACTTTAAACTATAAAATGTACTTACTAGATATAAAGAAAAACAACCTAATGTCCTTAACATAATGAGATGGGACATATTTTTGAGAGGTACAATATTTTTTTAGAATTTTATATATCTATAAATGTGGAGAGGTACAATATGTCAGCACAAATAAATAAAATCGAAATGGAAGGAAATAAACGCTACAAAAACTTTAACATCGTAAAGGCTCAATTTTTATTTGTTAAATTTTACGATGTATTATATTTGAAATAATATTTTTGATAAGACTTTTACATATTCATAGACCTATATATATTATTGTAACACAGTCTAGATATATTTCAAAAGATTTATTTTTTTATTTCTACAATAAATTAAAGGTCGTTGAGCCTGTGGTAGTCCACAATTACCTACAAGCCATAATCTTAAAACCTTCAACTTTTTCGGAGACTGCTGTTGCCCATAAGGTAGCCCCTAAGTTCAAACGTTACAGCGAAACTTATGGCATCTCTTTTCATCAATAGTTATGAAACGTTCTTCAAGCTACACCAATTAAAAATTAAGTTGTAATGTGTGTTAAAGTAATTTTTCCATTACAACTTCATTTAATGTTGCTGTATAGAGATATCGAAGGTAAACATTCTACAATCTTTATAAACTTGTTCAAAATAAAAGCAAAAGTATAAGATCAACCTTTAATAAATTCGTATCGTTTAAAATAACCACTCGAATTGATATCATGTTCTTGAATGTCGTATTATACGCTCGTAATTTCAAATTTTTTTTTCTTTTTTTAAAAACAACGAGGTGTAAATTGGGATGGAACAAGTTTGCAAAGGCGATAAGGTACACGAAACTCTTTGCTCGGTTTGGTTACAATCGTGAAATATATTGGTTTGAATATTATAGGTAATAAAGAGGTACAGTGAACCAGTAATTTGATAGGCTGCTGAGAAAATAAAGATAGATTCAGCAGTGCAGAGACAGTTCGAATCAGTGGTCGACCAATACTAAGAAAAGATATGGCTTTGTAAAAAAGGATCATTAGTTTAACAAAAGTATGTAAGTTAGTATTCTATCTTTATTTTCTTACGCGTTGACTGACTGTACTTTGCGGGTTTTCTTGTTATTTACTCGCCGCAAATATTATTAAGGTACGGAGAAGAGCTTGACCACTAAACAAAATAAAATTAAATAGATTTCCTTATAGCTAAACCAAAATATTCTAGCTAACTATAAAATTTTATTATATTTTTGCCAAGGAGGCTATGCTATGCTATGCTATCTATACTAAAAAAACTTAAGTTAAACTATATACAGAGAATTTCAAAGTCACATTCAATGATAATAAAAACGACATTCCGTAATTTAAAAAAGGAACGAAAATGTGCCTTTGAGATAACATAAAGAAATAAAAACCACTTATAATATATCTACAGATTATCATTACTTTAAATAAGTAAGTAAATAAGTAAGTAAATAAGTAAGTTTTACACAATGGCGTAAGGACAGAATAAAGAAAAAATAAGTTGAATTCTTTACATATTTCTTCATAACATAACATCACGCCTTTGTACCCAGAAGGAGTAGGCAGAGGTGGACATTACAGCACTTAATGCCACCGTACAATGTAACACCCACTTTTCACTATTTATATTATGAGTCCCATGTAACAGGGAGTGAGCCTATTACCATATACCGAGCACAATTCCAGACTCCGTGCTAAACAACTGAGATTTTTTTATTAAACCTAGTAATACTTTGGCTAAACCGGGAATCGAACCCGAGACTCCTTGCCCGGCAGTCGCACTATCAACCACTCGGCCAACGTGGCAGGATTGATTTTTTAATATTACAGGTAAACTAATTGATAGAATTTTGACATATTTGCTTTAAAAAACATTTTAAACGACCTTTCTAAATCAAAGTAATTGACTTCCGTAAGCAAATAAGCAGAAAATAATATTATACGCATGATTGAGTATGAGTATTCACTCAACATGTAGTAAAATTCGGAAATTGCGTCAGGTACAACGATAATTAAATAATAACAAGCAAATCATGTAAATACGCTTATCTAATGTAGTTAAGTATTACAAATGTATAATTATTTCATTATGCAATGAATTTAATCAATAGCTATATCTTTTTGTATCGCAAGTTTTATTGTATTAGAACCAGATTATGCCTACACCTACCTACTATGTTCTTCAAAATACAAGTTTGTTTGTGAACTTCATTACAAGTAACAGAGATGGCGCTTTTCCATAATCTCTCCGCTTGGCAGGCATGACAGGCAAATTTGTTATATCTATTAGAGAGCATTTTAGTCCGCTATATGTCGATTGTGTAGCCTCTTAGTTGGTACACAAGACATGTATGTAAGTATGGGTAAGGCAATTAAACATAAATACAATTTCAACTATTTTATTATCATAACATCAAATTATTCTTCTATCGTTGAACCTCGTGTGGTCATCGTTGATTCTTGGTTGGTATCCATTTGCATCGGCTACATACTTCATGGAATACGGCTTCCCCATGGAATCAATGTAGCCGTACTCCCCACGGACAACCAATGACCTTCCATCAGGACCTGGAACAAGGCCTCCTTCTTCTCTCCTGTAGGTGCCATCTGAGGTTTCATACCTGTTGAAAGGAAATATATATATATAGTTAAGTAGATATAACCTATAGTATAAGTAGATATAGACTGCCTCGTTGACCGAGTGCAAGTGCTACTGCCGTGCAAGGGGCCTCGGGTTTGATTCCCGGGTCGAGCAAAATATCAGAGGCTTTTTTTTAAATCTCAGTAGTAGCGCGGTGTCTGGAATTTTGGTCGGTATATGGAAATAGGCTCACCCCCTATTACATAGGACTCATAACATATATAGTGAAAAGTGGGTGTTACATTGTACAGTGGCGTTAAGTGCCGTACTGTACACCTTTGCCTACCTGGATAAATAGGCGTGATGTTATGTTATTGTGTAGATATAACAAGAATCATGAGTATAGAAAAACGGCATGTTGTTTAGAACCATACCGCGTAACAAATGCTTACATAACTGCCTTGATAATGAAGTGATAGTTAACGCTACTGACAAACAATAAGACATCGAGCTTAATAACTGATTTATTAGTTAGCTTCTGTATTTCTTAATTAATAAAACTGCTATCAATAATAGAGTAGAATTTAAACTAGTTAAGAATGCTTGAATAATAAATTCGTCTGATGTCTAGATTAATTAAACGACAAATAGTGGGTGTATGATATCTGTCCAGGCCTTTGGGCAAAACAAGCGTAACGTGTTTTAAATATTAATAATGTTTCTGTTGTATACGATATAAAAGACATTGAATAAAAGTTACTCAACTTCTAAACATTCAAAACTACAATAAATATAATTCAGCAATTATTTTAATCGTAAATCAAAGTAAATTGTAAATAATTGAGATATGATCGTTCAATTTATTTTTGTGCAATACTAGGTAAATGTAAAACAAAATTATGCCTTTTTTTTTGTTGACGGGGGTAAACTTTCAAAAAGCGCCTAATTTTTTGAGGGAAAAAGACTTTTTTTTTAGGGTGGAAAATCATCGAATGACTGCTCCCGCCTGGGTGAGGCGGGAGGGAGTGTCAGACTCTTACTGCCTAAAATCCACCCCGTTCCTTCTCCTGCACGTCGAGCCGGAGCCCCGGTTACCCGTTAGGTTCTCCGGGACTGGGGGAAAAAGACTAGGGAGTGTGGGATTTTTACCTCACTAAAACCTCCCCGATGGCCACCATCCGCACCTTAAGGAGGCACCGGGTCCTCTTAATAGACCAGCCCCGGAGCCCGCACGGTGATACCTAGGTACTCACATCATAATGTACCTACATATTGCATGTACTAAAAGTTACTTAAGGTTTGGAATTAAACCACATTATATAAAATCTCGAGACGTTCCCATTTTGGTTGCAGATTAAAGTAACAAACAAGTACAGCTTCACACAAAAGACATAGGGATGTGCCAACAATTGCAAGAAACGATCTGGTCATGCATGGTTGCTTAATAAAATAGAATTGCATTTCGTTACTCTGCACGCAAAAACAATGATTACCTGAATACCTCATATGGAAAGGCCAAGAAGTCGGTTCTAACGATGTATTGTTTAGTGCTTTAGCAGTGCCTTATAGGCACAGGATTTTGAGTTTTATTTCATCAGATTATGAACATACATGTAATTCTCCATTATTGCATATCTACTGTTTACTAGTTTCGTTTTTAAAAAAAGTCAAAAATCAAAGCATTTATTTCAATTAAACTGTCAAACACCAAGCGGTCACCGGTGACCGCGACCTATTGTTCTCTAATTGTGTCTATAAAACCGGTACTCGACGAGTTAAATCATAATTTGGTACTTTTGAAACGTCAACAAATACAAAATAAATAATAGTCTGTCAGTCAGTCCGTCAGTCAAGCTAGGTGAAGCTAGGTGCTCATTCCAAAATGTAGATTCTCATTACTCAAAGAAACTCAAGAACTCAAAACTCGAGAAACTCATGAGAGCCTTATATGAAAAAAAGAGAAACAATTTATCTTGAAAATAAAACCCGAAGCTATTGTTCTTCATCGAGACGTTCGAAATCCGAACTCATATCCAAATCGCACCTCTTATCAATGACCCAAAAAGAAAATTTAAGTTCCTCACTAATAAAACGAGATTTATTGAAATTAACGTCACTCCTATATTTAGTTTGACGTGATTATATAAAAATTATCAAACATTTAATGATTATCAAAACATTGTGCAATCGTTTATTATACGATGACACCTCGACTTAACCTAAGATTAATAAACCTCAATTGGTTTTCTGATTACATAGTGTACCCATTTGTTACGCAAGTTACGTCAAATATTTTCGATTTATAATGTCATGAGAGCTTTAATAAAGTGGAAAAATTAAACAAATTCGTGTTAATAATCATCGAAATTGTCTGTCGAAAGTATAACCCCCACAACACTACCTCTAATTTACATTAGTAATTCCTTTAATTATTATTATTTATTTCATAAAAAGGTACAGGGTATGATCTAACGTGATCGTCGA